TAATTCCACATGCGGAGTCTAGTGGTCCTTGGTGCAGAGAAAGAACCGATTCAACGTGAGCTCCCAGCCCCTTCCCCAGTGCATCATCATATAATGTGATATTTAGAATTTTAATTCAGGCAATTACTTAAGTAGTAATTGCTATTTGTATTTACATAGCTGCTTTGATCCCAGAAGCTCAAAGGGCTTACTAAACTTAGCATTTTAATAAATGTTTCATTTGCATTCTGCTGATTCTGTTTTCCCCCACCATAACTTGCAATTTTCTACAATGAGACACATAAGTTCAGGAAGTAAGACAATAGCTTCATGTGCGCAGGTATCCCAGGCCTGAGTTTTGTGTGTTTACGGAAGAGGGTAAGACTCCCTGGCCGGGTGACATATGAGCATCAGCTCACTTGCACCTGCTTCTTCCTGTTTAGCTTCTGCCCGCTATGCTCCCACCATGCTTTGGGGAGGCTCTGACAAGAGAGGTACATTTAGTGCACCAATGGATTTATACATGATCAGCACAACAAACATTATTTTAAATTGCTGGGAGAAAACGCAAAGCACGAAGCGCGGCACCAGTACTTAATTCTAATGATGCTGAATGGCTGGGACTGCACAGGGATGGGATTTAACAAGCTTTGATGTGAGCACTAGCATCCACCTCCCAAATCACATGGGCCGCTCCTCCCATAAGGCTGCTGAATATTGATAAATACCTCCACCCCGCGCAACAGGGAAGTGGTGGGTTGCTATTGGCAATCTTTACCAAAGTGTGTTTTTTCCCATCTTCACACTCAAGGGTTTACCCTGGATGATTTAATTGTAATTTTCCTTGTGTAAGACAAATTAAAGAGGAGAGTAGGAATGTCGCGCCAAGCACATTATTCACCTCCTTAACGAATTGCAGCTCACCAAACCCCAGAGCTGCTGTGGCTGTGGCTGCTCACAGAAGCTGCAAAATGCAGGGGCCAGGGTCGGGGGAGTTGGGGGTTTCCCCATGGGATGGCACTGCACAGCCCGGGTGACAGTGTGAGCCATCCCGCTGCCTTAAAAACAGGCACAAACTCTCACAGCACCACCTTTTCCCAGCCAGCATTCACAGGGAGCACTCCCAGACCCCACCTGGAAAAACTCAAAGCTGCCAACTCAAGGTGGAGTTTGGAGGGTAGATTAGCATTCACCATGCAGGGCCTCTTGCTCACTCAGTTACTGCTCCATGAGAATGGAAGGAAAAGAATATCATGCAGAAATCATGGGAGAGTTTAGAAAGACATATTTCACTGGTGGGTAAGGGATAAAACATCTTTGAGACAGTGACAAGGACCTCCTGAGATGAGTGCTGGCCCAGTGCACAAGTGAGAACACACTTTTGTAGTGACAACTCTCTCTTTCCTTATTTCCTTTCATTGTTTTCCACTAGAAACCAGGTATTACCTATGAGATTTATCAATTAACCACAATAAGCTAGTGACACACACTGTTCATTTTAAGTACCTATATTAATACAAAGTTGGTTAAGGAATTTGATTTTTTTTTTTTTTTTTAGTGATCAATTCTATAGGCTTCAAACAGTTGAATTATCTTTAACTGAAGGTGTTCATTTATCATGATGGCTCCATTCGGATGACATGCGCAGATCAGGGTTTGTGGGTATATCTTGGAGGTATAGTGTGTGCACAGAATTTGTGAAGTCCTGAGTTTAGTATCCAGCAGCACCAAAACTAAACTAAAATGTGCTGACTAGAGTTCACTTTTAATCCTGCCACATCTAGGCACCTATGAGTAACGCAAACTGAGAGAATCAAGAGATAAGTATGGCATATAATTTCATCTTGCTTCCCATTTGCATGTACAAATGGAAAACTCAGGCTGTTTGTACATCAGATTCAGACTCATTGGAATCTGAACTTTCTTCTGATCCATAGTCTAATTTTGGCATGTAGAATAGTGAAGATAAAACACAGCATTTCTACAGGCAAATAAGGACCATAAAAAAAAAAAAAATCAAACAAACTTAGTCTCCTGGAATTAGACTGTCTCTTATATCCATTTGCTTTGAAATGTGCCTTCAGACATGAAAAGGGCCATTCTTCTGCTGCTTGCCTTCTTGCTAATCTATCACCTGACTGCAGCTATCTAACCTTTTAGGATGAAATTGAGCACAGGGCACCTAAACAAGCAGAGTTTTCTGTGTCACAGGAAATCTGTGCAGGCTCCAGAGCGGCCGACAAGATTGCAACAAATACCTTAAGTGCATCAGCTGGCATTTTTCGGCATACGGCCTCCCGCTCTGCCTATGGACAAAGATGTAATTCAATCACTCCATGGTAAACGACGGCAGCAACCTGGGGATGTGAGCAGCAAGTCCGGCAAAGGACGACAGCCTAGAACCTTTCCTTTAAAGTGATCTGTGGCTCTCTACTTTGAAAAAATGAAAGTCATGATGACATTAGAAGAGATTCCAAAGCAGGAACAATTAGCTTCCAGACATGCACTGCCCATGACGGCTCCAAACTAGGAATTACTGTCCACCATGCTAGTCTTAAAACTCTTGGAAACCAGAGGTTTAAAACAGCTTGGTGGTCTTCGATACCTGCCAGACATTCCACAAATACTTACAGGAGAGTTGCAAATGTTGGGGAAAACATATAAAGTATTTTCATAACCTTTCATGGCTTTTATGCTTGAACATGATACATATATATGTGTGCACATGTATAGATCTTCATGTGTGCATGTACGGTGACCTGAGACGTGCAGGATTCAGCAACTTACACAAACCTAGTAGAGTGGTACAGTGTAGTGTGTGTGCAGGTGTGTGTGTGTGTTATAGTCTGTTGTTCCGAGGGTCATGCTGAACAAAACAACAAGAGAAGATGATACAATTAAGAGTTGTGGTAAAGACATGCTGTATTTATGAAGCTTCAGCCACCATCAAAGGACATACCATTCAGTCAACTTCTTTTTGTATGGGTGGAAGAAGTCCACTCTAAAATAACAACTATGGGGCTGAAATGTAGCTCGGTGGTACAGCACTTGCCTATCATGCGTGAGGCCCTAGATTCGATCCCAGCACCAAAAAAGAAAAGACAAAAAAAAAAAAAAAAACCAACAACTATGAAGTCTACTATAGTACAGATAAGAACTGGTAACATTTGCTCGCTGTCGTGCCAAGGGTTACGTCCTGTGTGTAACTGCAGGTGCATAGTAGGTTTTTTTTACACAGATGGCATCACCACAAATATATGAGTAATGCCTGTGCTGTGAAGTTTCAATGGCTATGATGTCACTAGATAACAGTAATTTTTCAGCCTCATGGTATCTTATAGTATCACCATTGTATAAAAAAACACCATCATTTGGAGCTAGGTGCTGGTGGCTCACACCTGTAATCCTAGCTACTTGGGAGGCTGAGACTTAGAGGATTGCAGTTCAAGGCCATCAGGGCAAATAATTCATGAGATCCCATCTCCAAAATAACCAGAGCAAAATGGACTGGAGGTGTGGCTCAAGTGGTAAAGCACCTGGTTTGCAAGCATGAAGCCCTTAGAACCACAGTCTCTCAAAAAAAAAAAAAGAAACCTCCATCACTATTTACAACATAATTAAAAAAATTCAGATGCTATTTTCCTGACCTATAGATATGTTCCTAATTAAACTAGCAGACTTAAGGCTCAATATTTCCAGAAATATATGAAATTATACCTATAATTGCTTAACTGAAATATGTAATTAAACTTTTTTTCACTGAGTCATTTCCATTTAAAGACAAAATGTTGCTGGGCACCAGTGGCTCATACCGGCAATCCTAGCGACTCAGGAGGCAGAGATCAGGAGGATTGTGGTTTAAAGTCACCCTGGGCAAATAGTTCCACGAGACCCTATCTCAAAAAACCTTTCACAAAAAAATGGGCTGGTGGAGTGGCTCAAGGTGTAGGCCCTGAGTTCAAACCCAGGTACTGCAACAAACAAACAAACAAACAAACAAAAAAACCCAAAAACTAAAAAACAAAACCCAAAATGTTGTTTAAATTTGCTTTTGCCTGACAGAAATGGCATTTACTATCAGATGTTAATTTTCAGAGTCTTTTTTCCTATGGCTGGAAACTGCATATGAAATATTTAAAAAACAGTAAACTGAAAAAATTGGAAATTTTAGAAGCATTATATATATTCCATTTTTGAAAAGCATTATTAACAGAAAAGTATTATTAATTAAAAAGTATTATTAATACTTCTGGGTGCTAAGATACAATAACATGAACGAACAGCTTTATTTTCTTAGAATTCCATCCTAACATGATGGATTCCAGATCTCTAAAGCAACCCTAGCTTCAATTAATATTCATTTGAAGCTCTGGGCAATTAAAAATATCTTTCAAACAAGGATACAGCAGTTGAGACATGGAGAACATACTCACGACCAACAGCAAGTGCACTCTGCATACCTGTGAGTGTGTCTGCCATGCACCCTTCTATCTCCCCATCCTTCAACCCTTCCCTTGGTGGCCAGCCCAAAAAGGCCACGTGCTTCAAGGACACACAATGAAAAAGACAGGTTCCCAGCCTTCAAGGGGGGGCAGTGTAGAACTAACGTAAATTCTGTATTTTCTCAAACCACAAATCAAAATTGCCCACAGCAAACATGACTGTTCTCTGAGAAGGTGCTTAGAGCCAAGGAATTCAGCTCGTATGGAGTGAGCACTTGGCAGAAAGTCGGCCTGGAAGACGTGAAATCCAACCTCTCCAATGAGAGACTCCAAGACTTCTGCCCAGGCTTCTAAGCTGAGAGCAGCTCTCCAAAAGTGCTAATTCCATGTTGAAAAGGTGAAAATAATTAGATGCTTCGCACCCAAACCATACTGAATACATTCTTAGGTAATTATACACACATTCAAGTCACTTGCATTCAAGTCCAATTAGGGATCACTGTGATATGGCCGGGCCAGGCCACCTGCCCATCCCAGGTGGAAGACAGGGCTGGACACATCTCGGCGGCTGGTTCCTACCTTTCCCTTTTGGGAGTGTGGACCGAGAGCTGTCCATTGGTCGAGGCATGTGGGTTCATGATTAAGGAGGTCTTGGAAGGTGCAGAGGAAGACACACATGTCGTGGTCAGGTCCAAACTGCTATGACTGTTGCCTGTGGTTTCTTCTGCGGTATGAGCACTTGTCACTTCTTTCCAGAGCTGCTGCAGTTCTGTTGGAATCATGCCTGAAACAAACAAATTGGATAATTAAATCAATTAACAGCTAATTCCGTCCTCTTCAAACAGTAATTAAATCAAAGAGTCAGTAAACAAAGCCTAGTGTTAGGGGGGCTTTTTGGTGTGTGCAGGTTTTTCTCCCCCTCCCTACTAAGGCAAATACAGAAGCATTAAACCTCTCCTACTGAGCAGCCAGGCTGAAGTGCTCTCTTCACACATAACAGACACATGTGGAAAAGATTTAAACACTTATTTTGCAACAACTGTATGCCTCTATCTGTCCCAAATGCTGTTTTTCAATTTTTGGACAAAAAAAGGGTAAGGAGATGTTACCTTATTTTTCGACACACAGAAGGGCTCAAGATAGCCTTGTTCAACTACATCCTATGACAACATGAACCAGCAAGTGAATAATTTTTATGCTTAAGTCTTAAATGATGACAAATAGCTTTGTTATTAAATATAGTTTTTATTAATCACTTTTAGACATAAATTATGAATTCGTATCGTCTTCCTGAAATGCTTTTCAACTTTGAACAGTCAAATTGATTATACTATGATTATTTCATTAACACACCTATCTTCCTCATTAATTTTGGTTTCTCGTACCACAAGCTTAATTGATGGATGTGTCTACTGAAAAACTGTGTAACTTTTTATACAAGTAACACTATTATTACTGTCATTTCTTAGATCAATGCTAATGAACCATTGCAGACAAAAAATGAAAACGCAAAGTAAGCTTGGAGTAATAGAGTGCTTTTGTTTTTTAAGGGTGGTCAAAATGGACAAGGGTTTGAAGAAGGAAGTGTCAACCTGTAATTTTCCCAAGAAGAGACACAGTCAGCAGCCAATCTCACTATGGTGGACCTCTAAGTCCCACCCTGGCAGCAAACCTTTATAGTCCAGGGTGTCCACATCCTAACTGAATGCACATCCCGGAGCACACACAGAAGAAAGAGGTCCTGAATTGGCTCTAACAACAACAACCTGCAGCAGCTTCCTTTGAAAGAGTACCAAAAAGACTCCACTCTGCATATCTAAAGGCAATCCTGCCTCAGAACTGGACGTCTGGCTTGAAGTCCATTGTTTCATTCAACTGTAACACAGCTCTCCTAGGAAGACTGCCATATTCTGGGTTCGTAAGAGCAGCCGAAACAGGCATGTTTCTTACCAAACCAAAGGTACGGAATTAAAAAAAAAAAAAAAGAGGGCTGTGTGCATTATATTCATTTGAAACACATAATAAAAAATGCCAAGGTCTAAATTTAATTTATTTTTGTCATTTAGAATACAATGGATAGATAATCATCTCAACGTGATCAGCCAAACATCTTTACTTTGCTAAACTGTTAAAGATTTTAATTATGCTAGCATTGGAGAGCACTGGTCTAATGAGGCAATGGACTCCAGAGAATCCGAGTGGTTAAGAACTGTGAAATGAGTCTGATAGGATTTTTTTATATTCACCATGGATCGTTTGCATATCAAAGAGGAGTAAATTATTGCACAGCAGACCAATAACCTTCCCCGCCTTTCCTAGAGAAGCCTTAACAAAAACAGTTGGTCTCTCTTAACGGTTCTGCACGGAAATGTTCGGATGCTCAAGTATTTGCAATTAATATATATTATAAAGGAGGCTTCGACTGATACAGTAAGTGGTCAGATATCCTTAGAACGCATGCCCAACAGCCAAGTCGCTTTTCTTCTCCCTTCATAAACATCAAATGCCAATTATATTTTGATAGATTTTGTCCCAAATGAGCATTTAGTTATTAGGCATATTCAATTACAATTATGACTTGTCCCTGAAATTAAACCTCGGAGGCAGATGAAACAAAGGGAAAGGTCACTACCTAGTCCCGTGTCCGGTTCTGCTGCATCTGGGTTATTATTCTCAAACACCTTGCAAAGTGACAGGTGGGATGTGCCTGTAGCTAGCTGGCCTGCCACTACAGTCTGCACACTGACAATTACCCGAGAACAGGGCTGCCCCTCGGACCACTGTTTACTCAATTGAAACAACAGCGAACAGCCTGTGTGTAGATGACAGCACGTTGATAGAAAACCACACAAGTCAACACCTATTTTTATTTTCTAGCAAGTAAACACATGAAAAGAACAAGCCAGGTATTTTCCAACTCAAACTAGTTGATTTCTGGGTCAGCTGCATGGGAAGAACGTGCCTCTAACAACTGTGCTCACACCTTCCTTCCAAGAAAAGAAGAACTTTGAAGCTGTTTGTAAAGTATGCTGTTTATCCAGCAAATCAGGACAAAAACAAAAAGCACTTGCCACTTGTTACACCAATAATGACAATAATGTGACTCTTCTCTCCTTTCATTCCAATAGCCTAGCAAGTCAGTTTTATCGTCCATAGGGGAGAAGTGATACATAGTGTCTTGCTGAGTGACATGGTGGTACTTGTGGGTCAAACCTCAATGTGATGATTACTCTTAAGAACATTCTCAACAGCTGTAACAGGGAGGCAGTCAAATCTCCCCCCATCTTCAGTGCTTCTCCTTGTTAGAGATGCTTGACAATTAGCTCAGTGAATACCACCCACCAAAAGATGCTGGTATTCGACAGCCAAAATCTCATGACAGAATTAAGACAAATCAAAGGTAAGCCAGTCACTCATCAGACCACAAGGATATCCAACTTCCAGAAAGCATGCATTCCTTCCAAAATTGTAATGAATAACAGTAGAAAGTTAAACAAATCCATTAGCAGGTATATAACCAAGCATGTAATTTTCTCCTACCTAGAGTTTATATTTTAAAAACTGAAAAGGCTGGAATGATAGCAAAAGACTATTTCTATATGAAATGACTGGTACAGGGGAGGATAAGAGGATGAAAGAAACCAGAGTGAAAACAGATATATTAATTATGCAAAACAGAACAAGGGCCTACAAGAATGTGAATAACAACAAAAATTATCCATTTCATAATAGAAAACCTCTAGGGGTTAAAAAAAAAAGGCCTTCAAAAGACAACTTTCTATTCCTATAGTTTGGGATTTACACACAGGTTTAAAGTAATTTAGAAAGGCCATGAACAGGTATATAAAAGAATCCTGATGATTTTATTATGAAGTAGGCATTTGAAAAACATTACCCTTGTGCCTTGCTACATTTCTTTTTTTTAAAGGATAACTGGTCCCTTCATTATAAAAGAAAATGCAGGCGCAGGTTTAAAAAATGTATGTTGTGAGGACAGGTGACAGATTACTGCTCACGGAACTCAATTTTACAACATCAGGTATCACTGGCTCAAAGACAAACAGAGTTGATCAACCTTTTTTTGTCCTTGTACATCCATACCCAGGTGACCATGTTCAAGCAAGCAGAAAGTTGATTTAAACCTCATAATGACATCAGTTTTAAGCCATCATCTCTCTGATAAAAAAGAATTGTGTTGTATTCCAACATGAGTGAATTCACAAAACCACTTTGGATGAAGGGGGAGGGGAGATAAAACCAACCTCCCGATTTGCAAGACCTGGCAATGACAGTGGGGTTCACTTTACTGCAAGAACCTGACTCCAGAAATGTTTACATTTATGCCATCTTGGGCACAATATGGACACCCCTTAGAGTCTAAATGTGCTTCTTCCCAATGTTCCAGGGACTAACAGTTACAGTGGACTGCTAAGCATATCAATCAATGCCATGGCTACTGATATGTTACTGCAGAGATTACACTTCATGCATCACCACATTCATTCCTTTCACATTACACGTGAGCTTGTCTTGTCACTGCCCAATTGCCCTCTTTTAGACAGCTTAACTGATGTATTGTAACAATGAACCTTAGTGAGCAAACGTAATAATATAGGAGCTGTGGCAAAAGATGAGAGAAGGTGAAGCTTGGGTTCAGAAGATGTGTCAGAACAGCCTGCCATGTTTCAAACAATAAACCAGAGGGTGTAATTAATGTATACTGTAACATTATGCAAGCACAAAAATGACAAAAACACCTTAGCCAACATGGCCTTCCTTTCCACCTTGGATGATCAGTTACCAGAGCTTCCATTTGGACAAAAATGGAGGAGGTACTTCTTCAGTTTGAAGCAACTGAGGAGTCATAGCACAAAGGAGTGGAGAAGCAAGTGAGAAGTCAAAAGAGGGAAACAGGACGGTCTCAAAAAAACAGAAACAGAATGAAAGCCCCATAAGGGACAGACTTTGGGTATGGTTAACCCCAGAGAAAAGTCAAACACAGACACACCTCACTGGCTGTACTTGACACCAAGTTATTAGACAAGTGATCAGGCCTACAGCAACATAAAGAAGGTCCCAGCCTTTCAATCTTTTTCAGAAGCAACTGAATCAAAGATACCCAGCCACTTTCCTTTAAGGCACATTTATACATTCAGCCAGTTCTACCGGAACAAAAAGGAGTGCAAGCTTCTGGAAGCAGCTGAAGTCCAAAGTACCTTGTAGAGTTATCCTTTGGCAACTGTGGGAACCCCCGCTCAGACACAAAGACCCAAAGATGGTAAACTCCCTAAAACAAAATAGCACCTCTGCATAGCACTAATGCACATCCTCCCATCCTCCTGCACACAATTTACTTATTTGGTAGTACTGGGGTTTGAACACCTGATCCACAACACCAGCCATTTTTTTTTTTTTTAAATTTGGGGCTTTATTTTAATTTTTTCTTTTAAGATGCTGCTACATAGCTGAACAGAATTGGATTGGTCTTTTACGGCATAAAATTAATTCAGTCA